TATTTCATTATAGATCTATCAGCAGCTGAGCGGCAAAATCGAGGAACACTGGTAGTTCGTTCCGAGCTCAAATCAGGCGAACGGGCTAGCTACATGGGAGGTTTCGTGGTCTTCTTCCAGGTACAACTTGAATACTACCTTCTTTCCATTACCTGGAAGTCCGCAAAATTTTTTTATCACAACCAATTACTACCTGCAAAATTTTGTTATCACAAAGAGACCACAGAAATCCAAGTCCTGTTCTAGCAGAAACTCTGTGCATGGTCACTCTTGTAGCTGGTAAATCAGCCATCTATTGCTGTGAAGACTTGGAATTTGCCTTGTAGAGACATTTGGTTATTTTGAAGAAGAGGACATGAAAAATCAGCAATGCCTCGCCGGGACTCGAATCTGGACCTCGAATACGCGCCGAGTATGCTAACCATTACACCACGAAGGCATGCAGAAAGTAGGAAGAGAATACCTTGTAACACTTTCACAGATTATGCAATTAAATACAATTTTTCTAATTGCATTTTTTGCAGAAACAATTCAAAATTTACTCCTTATAAATGATAATGTTGCTTCAGCACCTGCATGAAAAAAAAGGACATGGAAATGATTAATCACAATTACAGTTAAATTACTTTTATATGGCAAAACCATGGGATGTTTTTGCATTTTACTTAAGTCACTCTGAGTATTCCATCACGCTCTGAGTATTCCATCACGATCCAAAAATGGACACAAATTCAATAGTTTATTACCATTAGGAACAGGAATACCTTTTCCTAAGCACTGGATTTCTGTCACAATTCAAGTTCTCTTATCATTTCTCACAATGCACAATAAAGCACCAGAAAGTTCATTGGTTGTCATCCCCATTCCTCGGGTAAGATATAATGGAAGTCTGGTGTTCTGTTCGAATCTCTTGCACCAAGTCACTCTTAGCAATTTGTTATAAGATGAGCATTCATTGATGGCATCTAAAGAATCAAAGTGACAATAAGTGAACATATTTCACTTTATTACTGGCGGTTTTAATTCAAGGAGAAACAGTTCCTCGGTTTCTACAATGATACCATCTTGGCAGTCAAAACCACCACAGGCTATAGTAGAAATAGGGGACCACACCACCACAGTTCGCGCTGTTAAAGCTTGACTGGATCAGTACCTCTTGATATGAGATCCGCAAGGTTCTGTTTAGAACGTTTTTGATGCCACTGTTCAATCACAGTTAAAATTTACGTGATTATTCGATTAGCAATAAACGTTTTGAGACCTTTGCACTCTTTTGTTAACCATACCAGTATAGTAATGCTATCTGCCCAGAAAAAAGTTTTAGAAACCTCTAGTCTTGTTATCAATGTAACTAGTAGTATAGCAGCACAGAGTTCGAGACGCAGCATATAGATACAATTTAGAGGCGCTACTCTGTATTTACTAAGAAGATGTTTAACCTCGCGGTCACCGTAGGAATTTATGTCTTTCGCATAGATAATCGCTCTGTATGCCACTTCCGAGACATCAGTAAATCCGTGTAACTCTACACTCACAGACTGTTCATTCAGAATCCATCTCGGGAGACTGATAAGGTTTACAGCCTTTAAAGAATTGAGAAAGCCTCTCCACTCAGCATTTTGCTATACTGAAAGAGCATCACGCTAATTTAATTTAAACAACCCTAATTTTTGGGAAAAAAAAATCTTTTTTTAATGATTGGACCTATTAGACCTAAAAGATCAGTCTTCTTATTTGAGATAGCACAGCTCGTATACTTCACTGTGATATATAATCATATTAAACCCAAAACTATCTGGGTGTGGTTTCCAAAGTATACTAAAGCTTTAGTATCATTAGTCAATGAATAATCAGATTTCTGTTATCTTATCACACATAAGGAATTTATTATTCACTGACTATTTGTGAAGTTCCATGTCTTCTTTACCTAACAAAGATATAAGCTGTTGTTGAATACCCTTAGTTTCATTTACACTATTACCTCCTGTTAAGACGTTGTCCATGTAGACGTCTTATAATAACACAGAAGATGATAAAGTCATTTCCCTCGTCTTTAGCTGACTGCTGCGCTGATCTTGTTGCCAAAAAAGCGCACCGGATCGTCGGCATCTCTACTCCAGATCTCCTGTATTAAAGGCCATTTTGGGCACCAGAGAAATTAGGAGACGGACTTACTTGCAAAGGAGGCCGCGCAGAACCTAGATAGCAAATAGAGGTGCTGCTTCCCAAAAGCAGTATTAAAAGGACAATGTGGAAGGATGCTCTAATCCACTGGCAAGAGGACTGCGATTCCATCTCACAGGGCAGACGCACGTACGAGTTCTTTCCCAGGGTCAGTACAGACAGGTTAATATCAGACCCGCTTATAACGTGCTTTGTAACTGGAACTTTTATGATAGGCACCTAACAACAACCAGCGTCTGTGTATACGGAGATGTAGGCGAGCTTAATCATTATCTGACATCATGCCCACTTACACGAGACTTCCACTACGCTCTGCCAACTACAAATACAGCCGCCTACAGAAGATATATGGTCAAGCAACCTTTTCAATACAGAGGAAAATACGTCTAATAATGCTTAAATTCGAAGCGCTAAAGGCACTGAACTCTGCAGTGCAGGACACGGTCCCATCTAGCCATTAGGAGACCTAACTCTTACATACGTATCTTTATACCAGTTAATGTAATGTTAATGCATATGTTTAATGCTCAAGCTAATCGAATAGGGAAATGCACATTTTATGTTATGTATGTATTAATGTAATGTATGTATGCATGTATTATTAATGTATAACGAAGTATATAGTTATAAGTTGCATAATCTGCACTGGTATCGCTCTGCAATATGTCTGTAGAGTTTAGGAACTTAGTATTATAACTTAGTATTATTTTATGTTTTAATAGATCGAGTGCACTATTAATGTATAATGTATTAATATATCGAACGCACCTTTTATGTTATGTATCTATTAATGTAATGTATGTATTATTAATGTATAATATATATAGTTATAAATTGTATAATGGACACCGCTTTGCAATATGTCTTTGGAGTTTAGGAAATTTTATTATTGTATGTATTAATATATCGAGTGCACTATTAATGTATAATGTATAACGATGTATTACTTTTGTAGTAATTCAACATAGTAACGCTCCTTAGTCAATGAAAGCAGCCCGGGTGTCCGGACCCTGCTTTCACCTGTCACCTGTTTAATGTCGAGGCTGTGCGCGATACCGAATTTGTACAATACTCTGATTTTTTAAGCAAAAGCAAACATGGGAACAACAAAAGTTTCTTTCTCCCCATGTGCACAGCAATCGGTTTTCACTTAAAAAACACCAGAGAATTGTGCAGATTTGGCAATACGCACACAAAACATTTCGTTAAGGTTGCCGTCGTCTAGTTTGATTTCACGTTTATGCTTGGTGCTAAGTGGCGTTCGTTAACAAAAAAATACCAAAATTTGTTGCAAACAGCAGAGATAATTTTCTCAGCAATTTAAAATTTCCATAAATTTGATTTTAAATTCAATATTCTGAAACAGTTCAACTGACAAACATGGTCATGTACGTTAAATAAAATGTTTGTAAAAATTGCTTTTATTCATTTTTCAATAAAAAAGCCATTAAATTATATTTCTATAAATCTTAATTTCGACAAGCAATGTATCTGCACAAGAAACTTTGTGGTTAAAAGTTTAAAATATTCTTTATTGTGAATAGTAATCGCAATATGAGCGTTAAAATATATAAAGAAAAATCAAATTAATTCTTTTTATAAAATACATTATTTTTTATACTCTCATAAAAGAGAAATTTTAAATCCAATTTTTAAGTCACTGTCTTTTGCGTAACTAAAATGTTTAAAATGTTTTTACTAATACTGGAATTTGACAGGGAAGCATACAAATATGTCACGTAGATTTTACATCTTTCCATCTGTTATCTAAAATGATTTCATAAAGCATGTTGAAATATTGCACAGTAGAAATGATTAACGAAAGCTTGCTTTCTCATCATCTCAAAAGAAAATTAGGTCTGGAAACACTTTTAATATCAGGAGAAGGAAATATACTTTGATTTAAAGCCGGTACATCAGAAGACAATCAAAATCATTAAACGATAATATAAATAAATTATTTCCCTTTAATTATTCAAAGCGAAATTTCCTTTTTAATTTGACGTATATGTTTTAAAAGAATTTTTTCTTTTCAAGGGTTTAAAAAAGTCAGCGGAAACAACCTTTTTGCTCCTGAAGTCTGACCGCACTCAAAACCGATAGAGATACTGAAAATCTATATCAAACTAAAGTTCTTTTTGGTCTGATTAAAATCATAACGAAGCTGTTTGGCAATTTAATCCCTTAATTAACAATTTTAATAATCGATTTTGAATTTATTTGGTGGTTTAATTTTCGTTTCAAATATTTATTCTATAATATTTTGATTATATTAAGTGAATTGTTGACTAGATTAAGCGATGTATTTCCCACGCTTTCTTATACGAATTCTTGGGACTTTCGGGAATTTAATAAGAATATCCGCGATTGCATTAAGCGTCATCTATTGTATGCATTTTCGCTTTATTTTTTTGTTTTTTTTTTCTGCCCAAAATGATCCATACGACAAATACTCTGCTGGAAATGTGATATACAAAAGATTAATACGATAAAACGATTGTTCCGGGAGTGCTGAATTCGGAAATAACATTATTTATGTAGAATTTCATTTGAGACCAAAATCAGCGAATACATGTGTGGGGAAATAAACGTCGACTTATCATTGAGGAATGACATTTCCATATTCTGCTCTACTAATATTCCCGTTATATGCTTTCCTGGAATTGTTAGTCGTATATAATTTGTCATTGATTACTTAATTCTAGAGCTTTCTAAAATTTTCCATAGATTGCTAAAGGGATATCTGTTCTGTTTTATTCATTGATATATATGTATTAAGGCAAATTACATTAATTTCTAAAAATTCTCTGTTTTAGCCCATATCAGACCTTATATCCGATATGACAGAAGTGAATTGTAACAGACTGTGGTTCCACCATCCGCATGCAGACAGAGTATATTCTGCACTGTTGGAACAGGTTGGCTATCAAATTTTACATACAAAGTTGTTCAACTTTCGATATATATTTTCATCTCCTGATGAGTACAAAGGTGAGTTCATAACTACTAAAAAAAAAAAATTCAATTTTCAACATTTTAATGCAGGCCAGTTTTTATAGAATTTTAAAAACTGAAAAGTTCAGTTTGTAGTCACTTGGCAATTTTTAGTAAAAATATTTCAGACTGAAATTGTTATATACGTGCTTTAGAGAGAAAGGCTCCACCAGAAGAGGAGTATTCAAGGTTGTTGAATACTGGTAGTCTGACCTTTGGATCAAATGAGTTTCCCCACGTGTAACTAAGGTAGAAGCCAGTTCCTCTACAAGGGCATTCCGGCCCTTGGGGCACATAGTCCTCATGTGCTTAGCACATTCAAATAACGTGACTCACTTGAATCGTTAGGGAGAAAGTTCTGTTAATAAGTTTCCTCATTCTATGAAAAACCTTTGCCCCCCCCCCCCCAAAAAAAAAAAAAAAAAAAACTGAAATGTTTCAGATTTTAAATTACGTCCAAAGGGGCGTTTTTTTAACATTTTGTGTGTTACCTTTCTTTATTAAATATCATGTTCCTCGCACTTAAACCATAAGATCCAGTGCAACAGCAATATCGCAAAATAGTTTTAAAACGAGCATATCTTTAGAATTTCCGATACAGAGACTCACGCGTTGGAGATAAAAATGTTTTTCTGCACAACGTTGCCATTGCTCGCTTTGAAATCTTTGAGTTTGTTAATCAAAAATTCGTCAAAGTTTTAAAAAATAGGAAATCGATCATAAAACAAATTTCAAATTTGGTCTTTTCCCCACATGCTCATATTCGTTGGAGGATTACGTTATTCAAAATTCGATGACTCTATGTACCGTTGTTTTATCACAATACGAGAAATATACATACATTTATGCAGATTTTTCATTATTTAATTTCTTCAAATATAATGCAGGACTCTAACATTTTGTGGCAACAGTTTGAAAAGTGAACCGACATTTATGAGTCCGACGCAAAATGCCAAAACGAAACTAATAGTCCTTCGGGATTCAAATCCCTTTGGACTAAAAAAAGTTGGGGGGGGGGAGGCATTCAATGTGCTAAGCTGACCCGGAAAAAAAAATAGTCTCCTAAAATTTCAATCATATCTAGAGTAGTACTGACCCTAGGAGAATTTAATTTTTTAATCAACTAATTTAACTATGAAAAACATTTTTCACACTGATAATTATTCCTGTTATATAAAGTATAATTTGATAACGCTGTTGTGATTTATCTCACTTATCTGACAGTAACATCAGAACAAAACCACGAAATTCTTCGTGGCGAAGAGTGTAAGATCGCGCCTTCGTTGGCCTTGAACACCGTACAGTATGACTATGCTCAATTCCGCTCCCGATTTTGATGGAGAGCACTCCAGGGAATGTGTCTCCCACCCCTTTTCCTCTACCACCAACCTCTCAAGAGGACTTTTGGCTCGCCGCATGTTTAGAGTGCCCCCATGTAGCACAGGCACTATACATTAACAAATATCTAAGCTTACCCCCGGGATTCGAGCCTAGGCCCTTCGGTACAGCAGTCAGTGTCGCTAACCACTATTCCAGTTGGGCGGCTATAATGTGATAATAATTATTGTAATCTAAACTTAGTTCTTAAATTGGAACTATGGAAAATCATCAATAATTAGAGATATTCATCAATGCAATCATTAAGCATCCTCCTTATTTCCTAAAGTAAAATATTTATTGCATGGTACAAACATGGTATACTTAGATCCATGATGACTGGATTCTTTTATTTGAGTGTACATTATGGCTACCTTGCCTATGAGGTGGACAATTTTCAAAGAAGAAATAATAACTCACCTGAATTCATACGGCACAAGAAGAAAACCATGAAAATTGGACAGAGCCATTGGCAATAAAATCCTTATTGACTTCTACAACCATTGGCAATAAAATCCAGAAGAAACCAACAGCATTTTGCAGCTTTGACCGTGCACCCACTGGTACACAAAAGTAAGATAATACGAATATATGCACATGAAATGCACTTATTTCAAAAGAATGATTAAACATTACTCTTGAACTCCACTTAAATAAAAACCGTCACTAATTTATTTTTGTTTTATGTGTGTGGAGGGGGGACTTTTATATTTGAGCATTTAATTGATGAATTATATGAAGTTTTATATGTGAAAATTATAGTAGCAAGAAAAATTTGAATTACAGTGGAAGAAAATTTTTTTGTGCCGTACGAAATTTTAAATAAGAACCTCATTGTTCAAATAAATGCTTTATTGCTTCAGTGATGATTTTCTATATCCAGGAAAGAATGGTCTTTATAAGAAAATACGAAAGTAATATTAAAAAAAAAAAAAAAAAAAAAAAAAAAAAAAAAAACAAGATACGAGATCTGCTTAAGTGATTAAATGAAATGGAAAAGAGAAGGATATTTTTCTGAAACCAAATTTTATTATTCCTCTTGAAGGCCATTTACTAGCTTAATGAAATATGGAAAATGGCACTCTTTTCATCACATGCCTGTATCAAGTTGTATTATGAATTAATGTACACTGGTCATCAAAATGAAAGGATAATGGGAAAAAATATGCTCACTAAGTTAATGATGCAACCAGTACCCAATGTTATAATTATTTATGTTGATTAAATATAACTGAATACAAAATTGCACTTAAGAACATACGTTAGAGCCAGAAGTATGCAAATTCGGTGACTGACAATATGGTGCATGATGGAACTTCCGTTTGTAGTGTTTAAAGTTAATTTGATTTCTGAGAGTAATCAGTATTCAGTATTCAGTAATTATGGCTCAAAGGCGTCATTTAAGTGAAGATCAAAAGTGGTAAATAACTGGTAGAATCGAGGGAGATCAAACACAAATGGAGTTCGCTCAAGATATGAATATGCCTCAAAGTGTCATATCAAGAGTTTGGAGCCTGTTTTAAAGCACAGGATCAGTTGATAGACAGCCTAGTCAAACACCACCAAGAGCAAAAACTGCATCAGAAGACTGCATTTTCACTTAGTGTAGGGCAGTGGTGCCCAACCTTTGGCCTCTCGCGAGCACATTTCCAAAACATCAACAATTTTGTTAAATATACAGGGTGTTTCATAGATCATGGGACAAACTTGGAGAGGTGGAGCGTACTGAAACATGCATTTTTTGTATAGGAATGTAGGGTCTAAAGCAGTGTTTCCCAACCTTTTTTGTGCTATGCCCCACCTTATCCTCTCTAAAATTTTTAAGCTCCTCCTAGCATTTACATAATCTTTAATATTTAAAAATTGAAATTTTCACGAAAGAAACATGAATGATATCTTTTAGGCAGAAACGACTACGAAATTTTGTTTGCAAACACAGTAAGTGAACTTTCAAAACATGAAGAACTGAAATTCAAGAAAAAACTCATTTTAGTGAAAGTTTTTTATTTTAAGTATTAATAATTTTTATTATTTAAATTTAGCGACTGACTTCCTTGCGCTTGATCCTTGCTGCAAAAAAATTTTATGTCAGATTCCAATGTAGATAACTTGAGTCTCAAGTCTCCGGTTTCATTATATCCAACCTCTTTCTTTTTTTTTTTTTTTTTTAAAAAAAAAAAAGCAGCAAATCATTTATGGCACTAAATCAGCATTCAGCAAAATATGAAGATGGAAACGGTAACAATAGTTCTCTTGCAAATTTTGTTGCATTTGGATATTTGATTCTGATTTCCTCACAAAGCTATGTCATCGCTCCTTTCATATTAAATAAAGTTTTAATTGACTCATCATTTTGCATTCTTTTTACTGCATATTTTGAAATATCAGCCAAATCCACTAGCTTTGGCTGTATCATCCAAGTTGGAAAATCATTTTGTTTGAAGTTACAAAATCTTTTAAAAATCAGCCGATAAAATTTTCAGATGATCGACAATAACAAGTATAGCGGTATCAATAACAAGTATAACGTCACATTTTAGTCACGTCACATTTTTGGAGCCAATGAGACTTTTTAAAATTTTTGTGGTAAATAGTATATGCCTGACATAATTCAACAATGATAATTAAACCAAATATCTTCCTTTTGCATCATAAGATTTATTTTCTCCTTGAAATTGTTTATTTAATATATTTAATTTTTCAAAGATATCGGCTAAATAACTCACAATTGCCTTGTAATCATCCGTTAATGGATTTTTCATTTCAGGTTTGTCGCTTAAAAACTAACTAAGACTATCAAATAGTTCCATAAATCTTTCCAAGCAGTTCCCTTTCGACAGCCTTCTTACTTTAGTGTGATATACAAGTCTCATATTGTCTTCATTTTGTTCTTCATAAAATAACTTGAAAAGACGTTCACATTTGGCCCTAGCTTTAATAGCATTGATACACTTTATAACTGAATTTAGTACTTTACTTAGAACAGGCGAATTGTTTTTAGTTAGCAGGTTTTCTCTATGAATAACACAATGCACAAGAAGCATTTCTGGATTTTCATCTTTTATCAATTTTAAGCAACCCTTTTTCGTATTCCGTGCTTTATTTTGTTTTTCAACCATCATATTAGGAAAACCATCTGCAGTACAAGATGTATTATATTTTTATTGGTATATTTTTTTACATCTATAATTTTTTAGCTTACTATAAATATCTTTGTAGGTAGTGGTGCTTTCTAATGATTTACAGAATATTTCTTTGGCAAAATCTCCTTTATGAATATATCTTACACAAGTTACAAGTACGGCCTCACTGTCTCTCAAAGTTGGTTCATACATTTGCACCGAAAGTTTTCTTGTTTTCAGATTTTCAACAAGTTGTATTTCAATATCCTCACTTATTTAATCTTTTTTCTGCAAACAGTATTGTTATTTAGTGCCATAGCTTTAACGTCTTTGTCATCTTTTTCTAGAACAGTTTTAAATGCTGATATTGATGGTTTGATTAAATTCTCCCCTATAGTATTCTCCCCTATATTCCCAGATTAAGCAATGAGTAATGAAATTTGAATAAATAGCCTCAAGAGCACGATTAACAGTACGATTAACAGTTGCATTATGAGC